GAGAGAGAGAGAGAGAGAGAGAGAGAGAGAGAGAGAGAGAGAGAGAGAGAGAGAGAGAGAAATGAAGTGGTCGTCATGTGCCTGCATACGTGTGTGTATTTGAACTGACAGAGCAGTACCGCGCAAAAGCAGCGTGGCGAACCACCCAATGAACCAGGTTGCACTTACATCACACCACACCGGAATTTCATGATTTGTAACTAATGGCATTCGGAACCGAATCATTTATCCCAGGAGTTGGAAATAACATTTTTCCGGAAAAATTCGACAGTTTCCGCTCATTTGTAGCTTGCTATGGGATATATATCCAGTTAACCGAGGAGAGGTTGGAGCGTGGTACATGAGAGTGGCGATCACGGTTGTAGACCCGTTAAAGAAGGGAGAAAGATCTAGTTTATTATCAGGATAGATACATGTAAACTCAGAAGAAGATGAGACTACAACATTTTCATGTAAGGGCAGATTCTATGATAATAGTCCATCAAAACATTGAAGAAGAAGAACAAGGATCATATGGAACATGCACCATGGGCTTTCACAACACAAATTACCGCCATATCCATATAAGAATGCCAATTGCAAAACCAGTTACTACTTCATCATGCATTACTTTGACAATCACAACGCTGAGTATTATCGCAATCATTTGCACTTTTCCTTACTTTTATGCATTTCCTTTCCCATCCTTTTTAAGTTCTATCCCAAATTGTTCATACATCAAGCAAAAACTTATTCACATCATGCTGCAAATTCCTATAACCTTTAACATCGAGGTGTGCGCCGGATCCAGAATCCTAGTTTGCTGTCCCGTAGCCATTCCCATATGGATTGCCGACATATAGACAACGTAGTCCCATGCTTCGAGACCTTCCATGTTACTCTCAACTCAAAATACATGCTAACACCGACGATATATATTGTACGACCCTCTTGAAGAGTAAGTTCCAGTGCAACGAATAAGCAACCCTTCGTCCATTCCATTCTTGAATCCTCCCCCTGTCATATCCCCCTTCGAAGTTCACAAGCTCCCTACCGAATCATACACTCCGCCCCCATCTCCCGACACTCCGTGATTACATTCGCCCCGTCGACGATTATCATCCACATACGATGTTATTTCAGGACTACTTAGCTTCTTCATCCCTTGCTCTCAAACTTGGTGGACAGAGCGTCAATGTGTAGTCAAAAAAAAATTGCTGATTCTGGCAAAATGTACTCCATGCCTCATGTCGAACAAATCTCGGCGCGATATATCAGTAACCCYCCMTTTGGAGGTTCCTATCTATCCCCTCTACTGCCGTAGCCCTTTCCCGAAGCTACATGTTCTTTACCCGATCATACATTCCGCCTTTGCCTCCCAACGATCCAAGATTATATCAGTCTTGGCGAAGATTATTGCCCCCACTCCACAATGATCTCAAATCATCCATCCCGTTGTCATAGCTCTCCAACCAAAACGTACATTTTGTCACTACCTCCCGATATTACATCAATCTTGACGACGATTATCATCCTCTYACTAAATCCAGCGTTAGTTGGCATTMCCCARCACTTATCCCCACACTTAGTGGACAGMGCATTCAAGTGMTAYCRCAAATTACATATGCTTCACTACCATTTGTACCTGATGCCCTCTCCACCGCATTTCCCATCGTGCATTCCACATTACATAACGCATGGCCCCCATTCCGCCGTTCGTTCCTTTTATCCGACTGGCCCAAGAAACGATACCACCCCATTCCATCTTGAGAACTTGGCTTTTACCATCCYGGCTATTATCATKCGTAGACARGAATCATGGAGGATATCRACATTTAGTATTTTRTCGGTAAGGCTATCCCGRCRACRATCCAACATATACCAGAAGCATAGTGGGTGACCACGCTCTAACAAACTTCACGCAAATGATGGCAAAGAATGCTGGTAGGAGCATTACGGTAAACAGAAACAGAGAAGGAAGGAGACTCCATGCATCCCTAGCACAAACACCTTCCTCCACCGTCATAATCTTTATAAAGTCCCACATTAGTACTGGAGTAACAGCGCCGATCGAGATTATCCAACCGAGCAGAAGCCCCCAACCGAAAACGAAAAAAAGCAGGAGCGCCGAGATCTCCATTTTGCTACTCCCTAGCACAAAATTTCCCTTGTGCAATCTTTGTCGTGGTGCAGTTGATTGGGTACCATTTGCCACATCCGCTCCCGTGCAGGGTTCACAATTTCATAGACACAAAAAATGCTAGCAGAGCCAGGAAGATAGCAAAAATTGCGACTATGGCCACCGATACGTGGGCAGCATCCATTGAGAATTGTGTAGATGATCCGCACTTCTGCTTACTTTGGGGGAGACATTGCCAATTCCTACGTGCAACACTCACAAATGCGACATCGATCGTAGAGCAAGAAACCACACAAAGATCGTACAATGCACGGCGAACAGAGTGCAACACACAAGGAACAATGTACAAGATACCATAGGTCTCATTAGGTAGTACTGAATCCATAAGCACATCAAAAAGGAAATCCCAATTCGACTAGAACGACTCCATTGCGTCGACGAAATATTAGGGTATTTAGTAGGAATTCCCGAAAGCTTTTTCTCCAATACCTATTAATATTGGATCGTCAGAGGAGGTATGTACCCTTAATTATCGTTTCGAAAGGGATAGTGCCTTTTGTTTGGCACAATGATAGAACGGGAGGTGAGAGGTATACAAGGAAGGTTAGGTTATGAGGACGTCTTACCACTTCCGCCACTGATGATGACGCCGCCTCACTCATGGTCGCAAAGTGTCCACCAACACTCGTCATGTTAGTACACCGAAAAACAGACCCTCTGCGTTGAATGAGAGGGTTGTGTCATGTTTCGTTTAAGACTGATGCCCCGAACAAACGAGGAGGAGAATTATAGAGTGTTATGGAGGAAGAGGGCAAATCAAGAGGGAGAGAGAAATGGAGTACGTTTTGGATGGATGGAGAGAGAGAGAGAGAGAGAGAGAGAGAGAGGAGAAAGAAGGCGAGCAAAGATGTAGAGAGAGCGCTTTAGAATCGCCTGGGACTAGGCTGGGGAACCATCGAGAGCCACCCCCTATCGATCCGCCGTTTCGTGCGTCTGTAGAGACCTTTCCAGAAATGAACGCCTGTTTCGGTAGTAGGCATGTGGCCTCACTCGCCGTTCGGTTCGTTCATCATAAGAGGCTAATCATTGCAAGCTATCCTTATTAAATAGTATACTTTACTACCTTTTCGTTCATGGGTTATTCCTTGCGGGCCGAATCACTAACCCTTTTYCCGGAATCATCATCATGGGGGGATTGGGTTGGGGCCTTTTGACAGGCTCGACTGTTCGCATATGGTTGCGCCTTTGGCCTGCTTTTTCTTGGCATTGGTCCTTCACCATGATAAACATGGGAGTGGAAGTGGGGCAGGGGGTGGGGGGTGGGGGGTTGGGCGCAGGGAGGCTGGAAATATTCGTTTTCCTATAGGCTTCATTAATATTCATTTCAGCATATGATACAACTTTTTTTTTTTTTTTTTTTTTTTTTTTTTTTTTTTTTTTCTCATTTTTCATTTATTTTTTTTTCATTTTTTCATTTTTCCATCTTTTCTTTTTTTCTTTTTCCTCTTATAATTTGTGTTTTTATGTGTGTGTGTGTGTGTGTGTGTGTGTGTGTGTGTGTGTGTGTGTGTGTGTGTGTCCCACCCCTATCCCGCTGCCAGGAAGCAGTTAAGGCAGGCAACAGGTACCTGCCTTAACGGCACGGTACCTGCCAGCTACCATAACTTTCTTGACTGGTCAGGACTGATATGAATTATTAACACAACACAGACCCCACCAACAGCACAAGCATATATTACATAGGGCGGAGTGGGCAAATTACCTTAAACATGAGGAGTGTGTCGTGGACATCCACCCTGGGTTGCAGATACAGTTGCAGCGAGTCAAGTACTTGATATACGCATCGAAGACATTTCTGTTTGTGGAACCCATTTCTAATCATTTCCTCAACAATATTCCAGGTTTCCTCAGCTGCATTTTCTGGTCTCGAACAGATTACAAGGACCATCGCAATTTGAGAGATAATGATGTTGAGAGATTGTTGTACATGTCTATTCGAGTGATATTTGACATATTTGGATATTGGGAAATCCAGGAACTTTCTTTCGTCAAACTTGGTTGTTATAAACTCCCCAGTATGTACAAACATCACGTTTATCTCTGAATTTAGGAACTGTGTTTTTGTTCCGTACACCTCACTCGTTCCATTTTCAGTGAAAATTTATGTCTGATTTTTTATCTGGATTAAATCCATTGGGTAGAGCTGGAATACGTTATCCCTAGCCTTCGGCTGTTCTGGATCCAGGAATTTCATGATGAGCGGGTTGTTCAAACTGTGCAGATCATCAATATATTTAAATGTGTTCTTAAACAATGGTAGCAGTTCATACGCCTTATTGTCAATAATTCTCATAATGAGTCGGTACTCATATTTGAAAAAATACAAAAGGCGGGAGAGTAAGGTAGACCCATAGGGATTCCTTGTTTTTGTCTCCATATCCTGCCACCAACCGTCGTAAAGCAGTGGTCCAACACCCATTGTGTAAGATTAATTAGTTAATCTTTTGTAAGATATATGACTTCCCTAGTGTCCTGCTTGCCTTGGTTACAAATGCTGCACGAGACATTTCCATTTTTTGAAATTCTACATTTTAGTATTATGTCCCTTCCAGCCTTCTTCCATGCCCTGTCCATGAAGAACCTAATTGCTGAGGGCAGTCCATCTTCCTCTTTTCCGATAGGAATAGTTTCAAAGCAGCGAGAAATATCTACAGAAAAAAACAGAGAACACTATGTCGAGCAGGTTATAACAGTAATCTTGGACGAAATCGATTGACCACCAAATAGTGGTGTGGACGCCATGAAAGGCAAAAATACCATCTGAAATTTCCTTACATTTTCTTTTTACTAGCGGGATAATTTCCTTGATGGCAGCATCACAAATTTTTGTTGCTGGAGTAAAGAAAGAGGCAGCCGCATTAGTGATCCATCTGAACGTCTTCTTATGGTGTTTATATTGTGCCATTAAGTACGGTAGTTTCTGTAAGGCGAAATCGTTCCTTGGAAGGATACCCTGGAGAGAGCCTCTAGCTTCAGTGATAATATCCAATATCGAATTTTGGGATGGCTCAAAATCAATACTATTGAGCCTTTCCAAAGCCATCTTTCTTACAAGGTGAATACAGGAAAATGATGGAGTGTTAGAGGCCTTATCCGTCCCGGAGATATAAACGTTTTTTGTCAAAAACTCTATTTCACTTTTAAACGCATGACAGTGCAGTGCGTAGGGAAGATCCCCATGTCTTTTGAGGGACGGGATTGTGAACTGCTCAGAGATCTGTTTATTGACAAACTTGGTTGCCTGCTTGACAGCGGCTGTTGGAAGAAACACTCTCCCGATCACGAGGTTAGTAATCACATCCCATGCTTTGAGGTATTCCCCTTTCGCTTGTGAAATGCATCTTGGTTGGGGAGGGATATGATTGATGTCGTTCTTGAAGAGAGAACACAACTCTCGATTGTTTGAAATCGAAGGATCCAAAGATAGGACGTGCGTGGATGGTGAGGAGAAGGGGTGGGGCATATCTAGTGAACATTCGTTGTGGAAGCGTATGAATCTGTTACGTGTACAAGGGCAAATTCTTTCCTTTGAAAATGCAATTAACCAATCATCCAGACCAATTCTCTGAAAACTTTTGCAAGTAAACAAACCACAGCCTCCATTGTTCGCAAAAAAGTCCAGCCAATGACCATGGTGGAAAGAAGGATAACGGCAGCCGAAGAGAAAAAAGTTTTGAATACCCTTTCGACAATCTCCCTGAGTCTGACAGACTCTATCGCACGGCTAACATATTTGATTTGTATGTACAAGCCACTCTTTTCCTTCTGATTGCATTGCCATTTGTTCCTTCCCGCTTCATCTATCATCATTGCTCCCTTAGGTACCTGCACAGTTTCATTCACATCAATTACAAACAATCGTTAAAGAGTAGGATACTATTCTTGAAAACAGTGATGCTCTTGCTTCCGTATTCCTCGGACTTCTCCTTAGCGTCCCTCCATTGACCGATTCGCTGTGTCCCAATTGAACCGCGATTGAAGAATCAGGAGTTTCCACAGATATCAAATTTCCTCTACCACCAACCTGAGAACTGGGGCTTGCTGGTAGCTGGTTGACCTCTAGCTGCACCGCTTGCTGATTGGCATCTGCAGTTGGTCTGACGTAATATGATAAAATCGTGTTTTTTTGTCTCTTAGTCAGTCTGTTGGCTGTTTCCTTCACCATGCGTCGTTTTGTCGGGCTTTTGATGTACCGGTCAGGCAGCATTAGAGCCGCCATTTTTCGTGGAAACTTCTGTGCCATCAGGGCAGGGTCCTCCAAGATGGTTTCCTGTCGTCTGATAGGGTTTTAAATGAGGCTTTCCGCCATTCTGCACATGATGCATCTCATGTGGTCAAACACCACAGATGCCAGGATAGGCGCCCCCCATGTTTTCTTGAGGAAGTTCCTCATTGCTCTGATTCTAGCCTTGAGAGTAGGGGCCGCCGGATACAGGTACTCTAGGTTAGCTAGAAGGTACCAAAGGACATGATCGAACCAGGTGATGCTGGTTTTGCAATCCTCCTTACCCTCCTCCTCACATCTTCACTTCAGAAACGGGCCGCCAACATTCCAAATCCTTTTTAATTCGGAAATTACGTCAGGACCTTTAGCAGCACAGAAACTTCTGATCTGCAAATGAGAATCAGATACATAGCATTTTGTAGAATCAAAGTGGCCGATGGGCGGAAGGCACATGGCTTCTGGTCCAAGGGGGTATGGACCCTTGATGAGTTCCATGTCCTCATTCAGGGCTTTCTCTATGCAGAGATCCGTTTCGGTCTCCCTTAAAGATGCGAGGAGCCGATATGCATTGGCACTGATGGGCACACAATGATTATATGTGTCCATATCCCAAGCTTTGTTCCTGACCCTGGAGCACTCCGCTTCTACCCACCTACACGAAGTGAGAGGGAGAAAAGCATTCCTATAGTACTTGGTCACCTTTCTGCGTTTTTCTTTTCCCATACCGCTTTTGAGCTCAATCTGGCTTTTCGCAATTGCTTTAGCATGGAATTTTCTTTCCTCCTCTGTTAGTTCTAATCCATCATCATCAGCATCAGATTCAAATGACTCATGCACCGGGACCTGGACCAGACTGGCTATGAAAAGCAGATTTAGCTCCCCACAAATCGACGAAGACTTTTCTTTCATCGCTAGTTCCTCCTGGATGGAAGCATGGGTGAGGATATCCTCCTCAACCACATCCTTGGCATTTATAACCAGATTTTTGGTCATTTGCGGAAATGCAGCGGGATCATAGGTAGCAGCCTAGATGATGTCAGCCCAGTCATTGAAGCGTAGAATAGAGATAAGTGGAGGGTAGGGGTGAGGGACATTCAGCGAGTTAGCTTCGACAAAGTTGAGCACAGTTTGGTTAGCTAAGGCAATCATGGCCTGCGCAGGTCGTGAGGGGGCCTTAAACTGGTCTAACCACTTCTGCCCTCCCTGTACCAGGTCAGTATACCATCCATTTGCGGTGAAGAAGGGCTTTTGCCACAAGCACAAACAAGGAGTTGATTAGGGTCGAAGCGAGAGTGGAAAAAAACACAATTGCAACTGTATTTCCTTTTTCGGATTTTTGTATTCCCATATTCCTACCAACCATATGACAAATCATCCATATTCAAAGCAGAATATCACAACCTTTATTTTAAATACAGGGGTCCGACAGGGTGGATTCAGCCACCCTGATAGCAACAGGGGGACCCAAAGATCCCCCGCTATGTGTGTGTGTTTGAACTGATAGAGCAGTACCGCGCAAAAGCAGCGTGGCGAACCACCCAATGAACCAGGTTGCGCTTACATCACACCACACCGGAATTTCATGATTTGTAACTAATGGCATTCGGAACCGAATCATTTATCCCAGGAGTTGAAAATAACATTTTTCTGGGAAAATTCGACAGTTTCCGCTCATTTGTAGCTTGCTATGGGATATAGAGCCAGTAAACCGAGGATAGGTTGGAGCTTGGTACATGAGAGTGGCGATCATGGTTGTAGACCCGTTAAAGAAGGGAAATAGATCTAGTTTATTATGAGGATAGATACATGTAAACTCAGAAGAAGATGAGACTACAACATTTTCATGTAAGGGCAGATTCTATGATAACAATCCATCAAAACATTGAAGAAGAAGAACAAGGATCGTATGGAACATGCACCGTGGGCTTTCACAACACAAATTACCGCCATATCCATATAAGAATACCAATTGCAAAACCAGTTATTACTTCATGATGCATTACTTGGATAATCACAACGCTGAGTATTGTCGCAATCATTTGCACTTTTCCTTACTTTTGTGCATTTCCCATCCCATCCTTCTCAAGTTCTATCCCAAATTGTTCATACATCAAGCAGAGACTCATTCACGTCATGCTGCAAATTCTTATAACCTTTAACATTGAGGTATGCTCGGGATCCAAAATCTTAGTTTGCTGTCCCGTAGCCATTCCCATATGGATTGCTGCAATATAGACAACGCAATCCCATGCTTCTAGACCTTCCATGTTACTCTCAACTCAAACTACATGCTAACACCGGCGAGATATATTGTACGACCCTCTTGAAGAGTAAGTTCCAGTGCAACGACTCAACAACCCTTCGTCCATTCCATTCTTGAATCCTCCCCCTGTCATATCCCCCTTCGAAGTTCACAAGCTCCCTACCGAATCATACACTCCCCCCCCATCTCCTGACGCTCTGTGATTACATTCGCCCTGTCTATGATTATCATCCTCATCCTATGTTATTTCAACACTACTTAGCTTCTTCATCCCTTACTCTCAAACTTGGTGGACAGAGCATCAATGCGTAGTCACAAAAAAAATTGCTGATTCCGACAAAATGTACTCTATGCCTCATGTCGAACAAATC